CAGTCGTATTTTGCACTCCCGAGTTTGGATAACTGGCCTGGCTGGCTTTGTGCCTGCCCTTCTCTCCTAGTGCTTCCCTAGTGTTGTGAGAGCTTCTCCCTATCGTGGCAGGGAAGAGCCCTGAGCCTCCACTGGGCGTCCTCCACATTTCCTCCCTGTAGGGAACCGTCCCCATCTTCCTCGAGTCTGGCACTGACGCTGAGACCAGTCCAGGTGCCACAGGCTTCTGATGAGCAGCTGAGAGGCAATGGTGCCAATCCTCCAGGAGCACCCCCAGAGGTGGAGCCCTCCCCCAGAAACCCCGGCCCCCAGCAGGCAGCCCCTGTGTTGTTGCCACGACGCCGTCTCAACCCGGACAGCAGCTGGGCCCCCAAGAGAGTGGCCACAACCAGCCCCTTAGGTGGACTCCAAAAAGCCCAGTCTGTGCAGAGTCTGGTGCCACAGGGTGAGGAGCCTGGTGGTCTCAGCTCGAGGGTGTGGGGAGTGTGGAGCCACCTGAGCATGTAGAGGAAGGAGGTCCTGATGTGTCCCTGTGCTTGCCACTGGGTGTCCTTTAGTGGGTACGTGCAGGGCGCAGCAGTTCCTTGGGAATTGAGCCTTGGCACCTGGGGCACCTTCCTCACCACCTGGCCTTCATGTATATTTGTCTGCTTTGTAGGTGAGGCTCCTACACCAGGCCCATTGCTGTTACGAGAGATAGAGGCCCAGGAGGGCCCATGTTCCCTGCTCCAGGCTGATGGCCACCTGTCTCGGCCCCACTCCTATCAGAACCCCACCACCAGTTCCATGGCTAAGATATCCCGCAGCGTTTCTGTTGGGGAGAACCTGGGCCTGGCGGCTGACCCTCAAGCTCCTGCTCCCATCCGAGTCTCGCCACTCAGCAAGCTGGCCCTGCCCAGCCGGGCTCACCTGGTCCTGGACATTCCAAAACCTCTGCCTGATCGTCCTACCCTGGCCACGTTCTCACCTGTTACCAAGGGCAGGTCCCCTGGTGAGACAGAACAGCCTGGCTCCCCAGCAGGCCTAGGAAAGGCTCACAGTACATCTGAGAGGCGGGCCTGTTTTGGGGAGGATACCCCTCCCAGGCCTAGGACAGAGTGCCAAGCTCAGCCTGGGTCCAACAGCCCCTGTGCCCAGCACCTGCCAGCCAGCAGCCTCCTCCAAGGCCCTGAGAACTTGCAATCCCCACCCTCTGAGAAGACTCCCAGCCCCATGGAGTGCACCAGGCCAGGGGCAGCCCTGAGCCAGGCCTCAGGTGTGCACAGCTCCCCAGCTCTCATCTCCTGCCCCATCCTCTCCTGTCTCTGTTGGCCGTTTTCTGGCTCCATTCCATTTCTGTGCATCCAGCCTCTGGCGTTTTTCCTTCCTGTCTGTTCCTGTCTTGGTCCATAAGTCACACCCCTGATGGTGAGACACTCCTGCCAACTTTCATGATCTCCCTGTGACCCACTTGCCCTTCAGTGCCTTCTGGCCCCTGGGGCTGGGGTTGGCCCTTTCCTCTGGACCTTTCTGTCTGATGTCTGAAGGGTGTTGGGAAGAAGCAAGAGGAAGGGACTGAGGGCAAGTAGAGGGGGTGTGATGCTGGGGGGCAGGGGGAGCGGGTAGTAGGCTTGTCCTGCTCTGAGCAGCCGCAGGTGGGGAGGCCGGAAAAAGCAGCTTTGCTGGGCCTTACTGAGCTGTATCTGTCCCTCCCAGGACCAGCAATGAGCCTGGAGCAGTGTGAACAACTTGTGGCAGAGCTCCAGGGCAGTGTGCGCCAGGCCGTGCAGCTCTATCACTTGGTATGTATTGGGCACCCACTGGCAAGGAGACAGAGCATGTCAGGGATGCTAGCTGAGTGTCCAAAACAATGCTAAGGCTCTTCCACGGATGGGTGGTGGAGCAATCAAGAACATCTTGGGCAAGTAGGTGAGAGGGTTAGAGGCCAGGCTGGGCCCCTTGAACCAAGTGCCTAGGGCCATTTCTGGCTAAAAGCTAGAGACTTCCTCAGATAAGAGAGCCCACATGGCTTAGTTTGCTCAGGACCATCCCAGTTTATGCCTGTTGTCCCAGTGTAATTATTAATAGTATCCCTTTTCGTACTCAAAAACTATTTGGCACCCTAGACATGAGGGCAATCTAGCAGGGCCCAAGCCTTGAAAGAGGAAATGCTAAAAAAATGTAGATGGTGCCATAATCTGATGGGGTCACCCCAGAGTCTGCCCCAATCCCATAGCCTCTGGTCATACTTGCTGATCTTGGAGTGTAGAATTCCCTGCCACACCCAGCTGGGCGTTAAGTCTCTTCTTGGGGGGATTGGGGGCACGGGTGGAAGCAGGCCCCTACTTTTTATAAGTCCTTTGACAGGCCCCTCCACTGTTCCCCCAACCCACTTTTGGGGTCCTATTGCAGGTGACCAGCTGCAAGACGCCCTCAGCAGAGCAAAGTCGCATCACCCAGCTCCTCAGAAACACCTTCTCTTTGGTGCGGCAAGAGCTAGAGGCCCTGGCCGGGACAGTGCTGTCCAGCCCAGGCGGGAGCCCTGGGGCCGTGGGAGCTGAGCAGACACAGGCCCTGCTAGAGCAATACTCAGAGCTGCTGCTTCGAGCTGTGGAGCAGCGCATGGAACGCAGACTCTGAGTTCCAGAAGCCTGTCCCAAGTGAATGCCCCCCATTCCAAACTGTAACCCCTCCTCCACTCTCTCGTGGGGATGCTTGGAGTGGATAGCAGGGATCAGTGCTCAGAGAGGAAGCAGCTTTCCTGGCTGCTCCTCATGGGGCCCCTGTATTTATTAATTTATTTCCCTGACTGTTGCCTCACTTTCTTGGAACTCCTGCCTCCACAGCCCCTCCAGTGGCTCCTGCAGGGGGAGGTCTTGGGTCTTTGTCATCTTGGTGCTGTGAGGAGTAGGAGGGCAGCCTGCCCCATCTGGGGGAAATAGGGAAGGGCTGGCCCTCTCTTCTCAGAAGCCATTTGAAATTACTGCAGGGATCAGCTCCCTGGGGTGGAGCACACACACAGGGTATTCAGTGGGTAGAGGGGAGAGGCCAGGTGGGATTCAGTGCTCTTCAGCCAACAGTGGAGCCTCTCCTCTACCTCCACTTCCCCTCCCACACCAGCTGCACTCCTCTGGCTGCCAGTACAGGGGCTGTTTTCCTCAATTCCTGGCAGTTCAGAAAGGCAGAGCCCTCTAGCCCTCCAGAGTATTCCCAGCCGTCAGGAGGCTTGAGTTGGTATCAAGGCCTGAGCCCCCACATTCCACTCCCATTCCCCCTCCAAGAGGTCCCCAGCATTGTCTCTCTCCCTGTGCCCCCTTTCTGTCCTGGCCAGAACTCGAGCCAGCTGTGGGATGTTGCTGCGGGACAGTGAAGCCCTTTGCTAGGCAGACATGATGCCCTGGCCTCCTTTCCTCAGCCCCTTGGCCTTCCCTATCCTCCATCCCTGGTCCCCAGCAGGCTGCTGGAGCCCAAAGGCCACTTGCTCCCTACATCTTGAGTGATGCTAAGTTAGAAGCCTCTTGTTGGAACTTCCCTTTTGGTTTACAGGGCACCGGCCCACCTTTTAAGGACCTTGGCCACAGATGGAATCACACACACACACACACACACACACACACACACACACATCTAGAAGCAGAACAAGGGAACACACTAAACCCCACATTCTGGATTTTTGGTGTCCACAGCCTAGATGATATGAGATGGCCCGTAGGGTACTTAGTTCAGGTAGAAGGAGCCTCTTTAAGGCAGCGCTGGGTACCCAAGGTGTTCTGGATACTGGAGTTTGAGGGGAGGGAGGCACATGGGACTGTAGCAGGGGCCAAGAGACACTGGAAAGGTGGTAGGAGGGACAGGTAAGTGGTAGAGGTAAGGGGATAGATTAGAACTAGAAGGACAGTTGTTCAGGGTGAAGGGAAGGAGATAAAGCACAGTGGCAGGTAGAGTAGGATCAAATAGTGAAGCAGTTGAAGAGTTGGGGTGAAGAACATGTGTCTCTGGGCCCTGCTGCTTCCCTCTGCCTCAGGTAAGTCGGCAGCTGTACTGTAGCTCCACGCCATAAAAGCCCATTCTCGCATTGGCAGGCCTGCGGCCCTCCCGGGCCCTCCCGGCTCATAGGCAGCCGCTTAGGAAGAAATTGGATTCTTAAGGGTGCCCAGCTCCCTTTACCTCAGCCTGAGCGCACCTGAACAGATGAAACCTATTTCACCCCCACTCTTCTCTACTACCATCACCTGTATGGCCAATCTGCAGAGAAATCCTGGCGCAAGAACTCCGGCAGCTGAGGGTGGACCCCTAGCCGGGCAGCAGCTGCCTTTGTGAGGGTTAGAAATCCACTCCCACCCCCCACCCCCCACATCGGCACACCAGCCACAGCCCACCCCAGATAGGGGTCAGGCTTGGCCCTCTGGGCTGGGTTCTTCACGATCCTTAGCCAGCCTGTCCCTCACCAGGGGGAAGCTACACTCCTACCGTGGTTTGTGAAGGGGCTGCCCTTTCCCTATCCCCCAGCCCAGCCCAGCGCTCGCGCGCGTGTGCGTGTGCGTGTGTGTGTGTGCGTGTGTGTGTTCGGGGGTGGGGGGTGGGGGAGGCGAGGTGGCGGGGCGGGGGGAGTCTTGTGGCCGGGCCGGCGCCCATCTCCTGCATGTCTGAGGCCACCGGCAGCTGCCGCCCCTGTCCAGATTTGCCCTGACCCAGTTTTAAAAGCCCCTTATTTATAACTTTTATACTTTGTCCACGCCCTGGCGCTTCCCTCCTCCCCAGGTCTCACGGGGCTGGGACTGTTTTTAACATGTTCGTTTGTACTGATGTATGAACTCGTCAATAAACACAATCATTTGTTAACTCTGGGACGTCAGCGAGTGGGCCAGGCAACAGAAGGCGCTTCTCGTTCGCCACATGGAGAGCAGAATCCGGGGCGTAAAGGGTGGATCCAGGCTGCGGACTACCGCAGGACGGAGCCGCGGGGGGCCAGGGGCGGGGCCTCGGGAGGGCGGGGCCAGGAGGGGTCTTAAGGAGGGAAGGGCGGGGCCTCGGGTCGGCGGCGGCTGCGTCATGGCGGAGGTGGCTTTAGACGCTGTGCGGAGGGAGTTACGAGAATTCCCGGCCGCGGCAAGGGGTAAGTGAGTAGCACGAGAATTCCCGGCCGCGGCAAGTGTGAGGAGCATCAGGCTGCGTCCAGGCGTTGACTGCCGAGCAGCCTCAGGACGCGGGCGGGGCTGTATGCATGCCGGAAATCCGGTCCCGGAGTCGTGTGCGCCCCACCTCGGTCCTTCCTGGGCCGCTGACACCAGGGCGCGCCCTATTTCTTACCAAAGAACGTAGAACCTGGTGCACGTGGCTGGTTGATGGCCTCCCCCTCTGGTCACTCTTCTGTCGAACCCCCTCCTCCATGCCCATTTCCGTGGGTACGGGTCCTCAGCTCCCCTCTTTCCGCGTTTGCACGCCCTCGTGGCTTCCTGGGGTGATTCTTCGTATTCTCAACACCCGGTCCAACCTTGACACCTCCCCCCACCCCTGCACATAATAATCGGGGGTCCGTCGTTGCCCTTCCCACCGTTTCCGTCGTGAAGTCTTTAAGGTGGTCGGGTTCTCCCTGTCTGAACCCCTGCTGTAAATCTTTATTCAGAAACAGACACTCCTTCAAGTCGCGAGCTGTGCAGAACTTGGGGAGGATTGGAGGCAGCTGTACAAGTGATCCCTGGCTTCCCCCTGCTTGGTTTTTATCTTTCTCCTCTTTCTCTTCCTTGCTCCCCTTTTTCTCCATTTTTAAGTGATTTCTTACCACTGAATAGAACACAGGCACATGGTTGAAACAACAGATTTATAACATAAAGTAAGCTTCCCTCCCATTCCATGTCCCAATTTGCATCCTTCCAGAAATACTGTTTTTATTCACATACATGAGACTATATACCTCCCTTTTTATAGGAATGGTAGCCTGCTAAACACTCTTCTGTGCTGTTTATCTTGGAGATCATTCCATGTCTTTCTACCACAATCTTTTTTCACACCTGGGTGCTAGTGCTGTAATTTACTAACCAGCCCACTGTAGATAGGCATTTAGGTAATTCCTAATCTGTTTTCAATAGTGCAGCAAGGAATACTTTGAGTATTCCTTTAACAAATAAGTCATGTGCCCTACGCAAGGTTAGGTGATTTTGTTGTGGGAACATCTTAGAGTGTAATTACACAAACCTAGGTGGCATAGCCTACTATTGTTAACTATATATGCTATACATACTTTTATATGACTGGAAGCAGTAGGCTGTTTACACCAGCATCACCACAAAGTCTATGGGACCACCGTCATATTTGGGGTCCCTCATTGACCAAGACATTGTTATGTGGCCCGTGACTATACCTATTAAGCACTTCAGTGTACCAGGCTCTCTTAAGTGTGTATAGGATACATCACTAAACAAAACCGATCTCTGCCCTCGTAGAGAGCTTATAGTTCTGAGGAGGCAGACAATGAACCATAGGCACACTAAATGAGTAAATTATATAGTAGAAGCAATGGGTTACAAGATAAGCGCTATGGGGGAAAAAGCAAAGCAGAATGATGGACCTTAGGATGTGGGGGTGGGGGCTAGTTTAAATAAGATGGTCAGTGTAGGCCTCCTTGATGAGACGACACTTGAGTTTAGGCTTGAAGGGGAAGAGAGAGTGAGCTGCGCAGACATCTGAGGGAAGAGCCTTCTGAGTAGAGGGCTCTAAGGTGGGAGTGTGCCTGGTGTGTTCATGGAACAGGGAAGAGGCCAATGTGCCTGGAGCAGAGTCTTTGTGCACATGTGTATTTTTGTTGGCTAAATTCCTAGCAGAAGAATCATTGGGTCAAAGGAACTGTTTGGGTCCCTTTTGAAACCCTTTTACTTTGAAGCCCCAGGAGGGAACAGTGGCCATTCTCTAAAGGAAAACTATAAAATGGAGAGAAAGTAAAGCTGAAGTAGTTGCAAAAAATACAAAGGGTACAAAAATGGCAGTTCCCATGTATTTTAAAAGTCCCAGTGACAATAATAGATTTACTGAGCCCCACATCACCCCACCACCCAAGGTGCCTGCTTTGATGGGTTGGCATGACTGGGAAGGCCCTTTGCCAGTTTCTTGCCCCTGCTCCCTTATCTACTAGGCAGGTTCCATCTTACCTCTGTAGCCAGTGAAGCAAGCACACATGCCAGCTTTTTCCTTTTCAGTTTTCCTGGGCCCATCAGCGTCTGTCTTCTCACTCAGTTCTAATATTTGATCTAAAGACATTCACTTTCCGACTGATTGCAAGGCAAAGATGATGGGTATGGAGATGGAGTTGTGAGAGATAGAGCATGACCTCAGAGGTGAAAATGAGTGCAGTGGCTGTTTGGAGCAGGAGGCAACAACCACCCATTGAGGTTTAAGATGTTCAGGCTAGACCTCAAGGACGAAAACAACAAAGCAAAGCCCTGTACCCTTTATAAAAGCCAGGAGAAAGGCATTCCAGTCTGAGTGAGCAACAGGAACAAAGTTTGGTACCGCTTGCGTAGTCTCTGATAGGAGGCAGGCACCAGACAGGAGGAAACCAGACTGGAAAAGTAGGTTGGGCCTGATCAGGGAGCATCTTGAATGCATGCCAAGGCAGACAGTATTTTGTAAGGAGCAGTGGTAAGTCATCAAAGGATTTTTTAATGGGGGTGTGACAAGATGAGATTGCATTTTAGGAAGATGACTGGGGTCAAGGTGAGGGATGCTTTGAGAGGAAGTGGAATTAAGCCAAGGAAACCAGTTCACTGCAGCAACCATCCAGCCAGGAGATGTTGGAGACTTTCGTTCAACCATTAAGCAAATAGAGGGTGCCAAAAAAATGTATACACGTTTTAAGAAAACTATTAAAATTGTAGTACTCAATATATGCTGATAACAAAAGATGAGTACAAGTGACATTTGACAATTACAAGAGGTGCTCGAAGTGGTTACCATCAGCGCAGACACTTCTGATTATGGCGAACTACTGCTTAAGCAGCATTGACCAAAGTGTCCACTTGTGTACATGTTTTTTGGCACCCCTGGCATTGGCCGAGCTCAGTACTGTATGCTCAGTGTTATTCTAGATCCCAAGACAAGCACCCCGCCCTCATGGAGCTTACATTATGTTCTAGCAAGAAAGACCAGTAAACAATTTGGATAAGTGAAATACGGAGTGTGTTAAATGGTGATGAATGATAAGGAGAGGGGGAAAAAAGGGGAGGGGTACAGGATGGTTGGGGAAAGGTTACAGTTTTTAAAAGTGTGGCCAGGGAAGGAAGCCTCATCAAAGTGACATTTGAGGACCCAATGGAGAGAGAGTGTGAATGAAGGAGGGGATGGTTTGAGAGACATGGGAGGTAGAATCAACAGGACTTGGAGACAACCAATAGGATGATAGGAGTGAGGGAGAAGGAAGAGTCAAAAAGAGATTTTTATTAAGAGCGACACAGGGCCCCTGTAGAAATCTGCGCAGGTGGCGCACTGTGCAACCTGCCCAAGTACACGTGGTAGCCCTGGGTGTCTGAGGATGGTGATGCTGTTCAGTAAGACCAAACCCAAAAAGTCTAGCCCTTACTTTTCTTCCTGTAGTTTTGTGTAGCAGCCTTGTCTCCCTGGTTAGGTCGTAAGCTTCCTGAGATGACGATTGGATCATCCCTTGATATCTCCACATTGGCCAAGCCAAGTACTGAGTGCGTCCCATGGGACTCAGTAAATACCACTGTTGAAAGGCACTTTCCAGAGCCTCGACCCACTTATACCAGCCTGTGGCCTTGGGGCCTCAGCTGTACTCATTCTGGAACCCCGAACACCACCTCAGTGGCTGCCTTTCCTAATGGATGTCAGGAGGTTGGCCACTCCAGAGTGGGAGAGCCAGGGTCCATGGTACAGGCCAGACGTGGTCCTGTGGAAGGTTTGGGTTATGGGCTGAGCAGTACCCCCTGGCCCTGTTGACTCTTGTGGCCCATACTGGTGTGTTTGTGGGTGTGTCACACTTTCTCTCTTAAATTTCCCTCCTCATTCTTCAAGTCCAGGGTCCCTTGGTCTCCGGTGGGCATTGTCCAGGGACACAGTGTGGCCTGTCCAGGAAGGGCATCTCTTATGCAGGCAGTGGGACAGTGACTGCGTGCTGTTGGCTTCAGTCCCCCGCCCCCCTCTTTCTCTCAGAGCTCAGCGTGCCTCTTGCTGTGCCCTATCTGGACGAGCCCCCTACTCCACTCCACTTCTACCGGGACTGGGTCTGCCCCAACAGGCCCTGCATCATCCGCAACGCCATGCAGCACTGGCCGGCTCTCCAGAAGTGGTCGCTCCCCTACCTCAGGTGGGGCTGCCCCGGTGGGATGTGGGTAGTGCTTTGTGGCGTCTGGGCATGGGCTGAATGTTCATTCCTCCAGAGCCACAGTGGGCTCTACGGAGGTGAGTGTGGCCATAACCCCAGATGGTTATGCCGATGCTGTGCGAGCCGACCGCTTTGTGATGCCTTGCGAGCGCCGCCTGCCCCTGAGCTGCGTGCTGGATGTGCTGGAGGGCCGAGCCCAACACCCAGGAGTCCTCTATGTGCAGAAGCAGTGCTCCAACCTGCCCACTGAGCTGCCCCAGCTGCTGCCTGATCTGGAGCCCCACGTGCCCTGGGCCTCAGAGGCGCTGGGTGAGTGGAGGAGGGGGCCCTGCTTGCTGCTTCTCTCCCTTTGGTGATGACTTGGCCCCACCGGGTCAGGTGCTGCACACTAATTGCTCAAGTCCCCCAGGCCTGGACTTCATATCGATGAACTACTGAAGATTGCTGCCCTTCCTTCTGCCCCAGGGGAGGGAGGCCCCTCTCCGAGTGACCCACCTGTCCTTTCTCCCTGCTGTCTCTGTGAGACACCCCCCCCGCCCCCCCCCCCCAGGTCCTGGCCCAGCATCACTTTATGGTGGTTATTTACAGCCTGGCCTTTGGAGTGCCCTCTCCTAATTTACCCTTTCCTCCTACTTGTAGGAAAGATGCCTGATGCTGTGAACTTCTGGTTGGGGGAGGCGGCTGCAGTGACATCTTGTAGGTATCAGGTGGGGAGGAGGGGAGCAGGAGGCCAAGAGTGGAAGGTTGGGCCTGGACGGAGGTTAGACTGATTCTTCGCTAAGATATCTTCTGGGATCCTGGGCTCGGCACGACAGAGGGTCTCCCCTGACAGCTCAGGTGGGGGAAAATACCCATGGCATTGGGGATGGAAGGCACTGTTTCTTCTAGGTCCCTAGAAAGCTCTCTGAAGGCCATCTAGGTTAGGGAGTGAACTCAGGAGAGCTCTGTTTGCTTGAATTCCCCTCTCGGTGGAGATGAGCCCGGGGCCTGGAAAGCATCAAGTTCCTGCTGGGCAGAGAAGAGAAATGCCTGAATTTCTGTCAGACACTTCAGCATCCCCTCAAGCTTGCTCTGACATCGCAGGCTGTTCTCTTACACCATAAGCTGTCTTGGGGTGCAAGGCCCCTGGGGTGCAAGGTTTGCTGCCTCCTGTGCCCTGCCCCTCACATCCCTGCCCCTTCTTTATGTGGCAGTGCATAAGGACCACTATGAGAACCTCTACTGTGTGGTCTCGGGAGAGAAACACTTCCTGCTGCATCCACCCAGCGACCGGTCCGTCATCCCCTATGGTAGGGGATGTGGCCTGCAGGGGCTCTGGGGAGCAGATGGCCCAGGTGGAGGGAAGGCAGGGAGGGCCCTGGGCAGGCCGGTGCCCCAGCCCTGAGGTGTGGACAGCGTCCCCATGATGCTAGGACTCCTGACCGTCTTGCCCCTGCACCCAGGGAACAAATAAATGGAAGTGGTTGGCAAGCAGCAGGCCATTTGAGAGTCCCCACACCTTTTCCCCTCTGATTTCAGAGCTGTATACACCGGCAACCTACCAGCTAACTGAAGAGGGCTCCTTTAAAATGGTGGATGAGGAAGCTATGGAGAAGGTACCTGTGTTGTTCCTGGGCTCCAGGGAGAGTGAAGGGTAGGAATCTGGGCTCTGAGAAGCAGCCACAAAAGACCTGGGGATGTGCCCCTTGCTCTGAAAAATGCTAGGGCCTGCCGGTGCTGAGCAGGGCAGAGCCCATGGTGTTTACCTTTGGAAGGGACAGAGTTAGAGGGCCAGGGGGCTTTGGGCCTACTTCTTGGGATCCACTATGTCCCCAGGTGCCCTGGATCCCACTGGACCCCTTGGCTCCAGACCTGGCCCGGTACCCCAGTTATAGCCAGGCCCAGGCACTGTGCTGCACAGTGCGGGCTGGTGAGATGCTCTACCTGCCGTCCCTGTGGTTCCACCACGTCCAGCAGTCCCATGGCTGCATTGCTGGTAAGGAGCTGCCCAGTCACCTGACGGCAGGCCCAGCAGGGTATCTGGGGAATGGGTTGGGGGTGGCTGTAGGTTAGAAGAGGGACCCTCATGCTCAGGTCTCCTTTCTGCAGTGAATTTCTGGTACGACATGGAGTATGACCTCAAGTACAGTTACTTCCAGCTGCTCGACTCCCTCACTAAGGCCTCAGGACTCGATTGATGGAGCCCTGGTGTACATTGCCAAGGACAGCTCGTGGAAAAGGTTGTGCGCCTCCTGGGCCTGGTCAATCCTAGAGGCAGCCTGGAGTCAGAGCGTGTTGGCTGCTGGCCTAGCGCAGCTTGGGATCAGCTTTGGAGGATGTCAGGAGGACCAGGAGGTGCCAGGCAGGTCTGGGTGTGGGCTCCCAGGAAGTTGCCACACAGGTGAGGCAGCAGCCTGTACTGGAGGGTAAGGCTCCAGGTGCACACCGCCTCTCACCTCCATGACCTTGGGCGAGTTACTGCCTTGGAGCATTGATGTCCTGTCTGTAAAACAGAATAATGATGGTTCTTACCTCATGGGGCGTTGTGAGACTTGGCGATGATATCTGTAAGGATAGCATGGGGCTGGCACAGAGGAAGGGTTCAATAAAAGGTACCTGTGATTCTTGTCTGCTGAGACTCCCTCTTGAAGTTGCCTCCCATGGTCTGGTGAGGGATGGAAGGCTCAGGTAAAAATTTCAGGGTGACCCTGATTGGGGGTGAGGGCTGGGTCCAAGCCCGGGCCTGATGAGCTGTGCTGCCGAGACCCTTCTATCCGCAATAGCGATTGCAACCCCTCTTGGCAAGCAGGCCGACCTCGCTGTCACTCTGACGCAAACCTCATTGACTTGGGGCCTGTAAAGCCCTTCCTAGCTTTGCCCTGGCTTTGTTTGCTCTCCTCCTTCAGCCCCAGGGCAGCTGGTAGGGTCTGGTGTCCTGAGGGTCACCCCTGTTTCTCCCAAAACAGGCACAGGTAGGAGGAGACAGAAGCCCCTGCCCTTCCTGAGACTGTTCCCCTGCGGAAGGACTGGGTCTCCACACAGACTTCCTCCTTCCTGCCAGCATCCCAGCTCTGGAGATGGAAGAGCCCCCTTCCTCCAGTGCCAGCCCAGAGGTGTCATCCCCAGCCACCCAGCACCCAGCTCCAAGGGTGGAAGCAGCCGCCTTTGAAGGGCTTAGAACAAACCACTTCCGTGCAAGCTGATGATGGGGCCTGGGGCACTTGTCAGATTAGTCAGGACTGGGTATTCCTGTCATACTGGCATTGGAAGTTGCGGGAGGCCCTGCCTGCCGTGGGGGACTCGGCTCTTCCGTTTGTCGCTGCTCTGGGCCCACCCCCTGCTTTCCAGACCTCAGTGGCTCCTCCAGGCCCTACCTTCCCGTCTTCCTGCTCAGCCTCTGACAGTGAACTCTCCTGGGGGCCTCTTCTGTAGGTCAGGGCTGGGTGGGCTGGGCGCAGATGGAGATGGCTGGAGAGAATGGGTCTTTCGGGGTGTTGAGCCCCCACCACATGGGTGTCAGTGGCTCCATATTAAGGTACCTCATTTCCTGGACAGGTGGCTGGTCCAGGAGTGGGTGTGAGGCTTGGGTGGAGCAGAGGTGGTTGGGAGGAACCAGGGAGGAGCTTGGAGCCAGATGGGACATCCCTGGGTCTGGGTTAAAAAGCCAACAGTCCTCGGTCCTACGGCACTGCCTGTCATTCCTGGCTCCGAGGACTCTCAGCTTCATGGCTCTGGTAAGACCAGTAGGGAACTGGGCCTCCACTCTGACCCCTAGTTCTTCCGGGGTCTGGGTACTGCTGTTTGTCAGAGGAGCTGTGGACTTCTCCTTGGCCTGGGGTGGTGAACAGAAGCCAAGGAAGAGGCAGGGTCTTGGGATGAGGGACCATCCTGAGTTCCTCTAGGGATGGGCTCCGGGCAGAGTTCCCTGGCACCATGGATTTGGGCCCTGATAGCTCAGGCTCCCAGCTGCTTTCCTGGGTCCCTGGAAGGAAGTGGCTGTTCCACTGCTCCTTCTAACTCAGTTGTTTGGGATGTGGGGGCCGCAGGGATGACAGACTGATGAGCTTCCCCAGCTCTGCCCCTGGACTGCATCCATCAGGGCCGTTTCTGAGGCAGGGCGGAAGGCCAAAAGGAAGGATTCGCTGACAAGGCCTCCCCTGCCTTGGCGACCTGCCAGGGCCCACATCCCCAGACCAAGGGTTGTGGGTTTGTATGGAGTCACCTGGGGACTATTGTTACCCTGACCTTGTAGGACCTGGAGGACTTGACAAACCTGTGGGTGTTCTAAGCTGGTACTGCTGTCTCTACCCTAGTAGAGAGCCCATTTCTAGAATTGTTCCCTGGCTAGAGATGGAAAGTCAGCCCAGCTTGGGGGCCCAAGGCCAGGCTGGGCCTTGACATGTCTCTTCCCTGGCACCCTGCCACCCTAGACCAGCCGCAAGGCTGCTTAACAAGGGTGAGCCAGGAGTGTGGGTGGGAAGACTGGCAAGGAGACAATACCAGACACTGGAAGCAGGTTAGTATGGGGATTGAGTCTGGAGCTAGCTCCGTCCAAGCCTTGGGCAAGTGACTACTTAGTCTTCCTGTCTCAGCTTTCTCATGGGGTTTGGTCACAAGTAGTCTCCCACATAGGATAGTTGTGTGATTAAATGAATTAATGTCCATGAAGACCCTGGACCCAAGCCGGCCCAAAGTGCTGTCTAAGTGTCGGCAGGCGTCATCAGCAGATACCAGAGCCTCCATTCCGTTCAGGCCTGTGGCTGGGCAGGGCTGGGCTTTTTGGTTCAGGATTAGGCCTCAAGGGATTGCGCCATCCTCCCTGTTTGCCCTTGTCTCCTTTGGGCCCCTCTGCCTGCAGCAAGACTCTCTGTCCTCTGCAGGCAAAGGTGCCCGGGACGTGCTTGCTCACCATTCGTGTTCTCCAGGCCCATGGCCTGCCCTCCAAGGACCTAGGTGAGTGCTGGGCCCAGGAGAGGCCAACAGTTAATTCTACAGCAGCATTCAGAGTGGGGCAGGGACTGGGAAGAGATGTGAGTAGGGCTGGGCACGCAGGGGGTTCCCGGAGGGGGTGCCGAGAAGAGTTACTGGGTAGAAAGTCATGGTCGGAGCTCTGCCTCTGCTCTTCCCTGCTTCCCGACCCAGCCCCGTTCCTTGGGTCTCTAGGCCTCTTGGGGCTGCCTGTGATGGAAGGACCTGGACTGTGGGTGGCCGGGCTCGGAAGCGTTCTCGACACTCAGCAGGCGCTCGTCCTCCTTCCCACAGTGACCCCCTCTGACTGCTATGTGACACTGTGGCTGCCCACGGCCTCCAGCCAAAGGATCCAGACACGCACGGTTAAGAACAGCAGGAACCCCATCTGGAATCAGAGCTTTCGCTTCCGTATCCACAGCCAGCTCAAGGTGGGCCAGGCGTCGGCCCTGGCTCTGCTCACTGTCCCGTCCATTGCCACTGTTCTCTCCCAGCCCCTCATTCTCTGCCCCCGTGTTTCTCACCTTCCTATCCCAGCCCTCCTTCCTACAGCCCCCTCGCTCTTCCTGTTCTCCTTCCAGAACATCTTACAACTGCAAGTCTTTGACCAGGACCTTTTGACCAGCGATGACCCCATGTTGTCGGTGCTGTTTGACGTGGGGACTTTGCAGGCTGGGGCGTTCCGGCGTGAGAGTTTCTCCCTGAGCCCTCAGGCAAGGCTGCATCCAGGGGATGCAGGGGAGGGGCTTTGCCCTGGGGAGGGGAGATGCTTGGAGGGTGGCTGAGTACGCGTGGCCCTCTTCTCCAGTGAGTGGTCCAGGCTTCCCTGGCATCTCAGAGGCCTCTTTCAGCCAGTAGCTACTATCCCCTGAGGAGCAGTCCCATCCCTAACCCTCTTTCTTGGCCCCTAAGCCAAGGGCGGCTTTCTTGGAGGAGTGCAGAGAAGGTGGACAGGGCAGCCTGGAGATGGAAAATAGCTCTTCCACCACTGGGACCCCAGCAGCCCCAGCTGGTGTCTGGGTTGGCATCTGTGCGCACATGCGCGTGCACACACACTCACACACTCATACTCATACACTCATACTTTTCACCCTTTCTAACTTGCTTCTTTCTCTGTCCAGGGTGAGGAGCAGCTAGAAGTTGAATTTCGGCTGCAGAGTCTGTGAGTCAGGGACCGTGGGGGTAATTCCCGGGTGGGAGTGCTTCCTTCTGGGCAGGATGGGGTCCAATACACCCAGAGCTAACTCCCTTTCCTGGGAGACATCCAGTGGTGGAGGAGGAATGCCCAGGCCTCATTGGGGGTGAGAACCTGGGAACCTGGACTCCCGCTTAGGGTCACTGGGGGCTCTTTCCAGGACAGACTGTGCTGAGCAGCTCGTCAGCAATGGTATCCTGGTGGTGAGTCTAGAGCCCCCCCCCCCCAGGCCATCTGCTCACCCTCCTCCTCAAGCTTCAGGCCCATTACAGGGGTTGGGGGCAGAGCTGAGTTGGGGGACCCTGGGATTTTAGTTCCTCAAGAGGATACAACTTCAAACAAATAATATGGTGGGTGTCTCAGGGCCAAGGTAATAAAGTGCTGAGGAGTAAGAACCAGGGTGCTGGGAGGGTGGGGGGCTCTAAGGGGAGGGGTTCGAGTCTGAGGGTCTCTCTTAATGACTCAGGCCCGGGAGCTTTCCTGCTTGCATGTTCGACTGGAGGAGGCAGGGGACCAGCAGGGTGAGTCCCTGACTGCCTGGGATAGCCTGGCCCTCAGCCCTTGTCTTCACCTTTTTGAGGGGATCCTGGAGGGGACCCTAGGACCCTAGAGGGGACTTTGCATTAGCTGCTGTCAGCTCTCAGGCAGGAGCAGGGTTTGGGGGGTGAGTCCATTCTGGGGATTTCCCCCCTTAGTCCACAGAGGGGCTGTGATGGGGGCTCCATCCCCCAGCTTTGGCCTGGCCCAGACCTCCATCTCAGTGCCTCCCAGGTTCCTTAGGGAAGATGAGGGCCTCTGTGGGCTGCGATCCTGCTCTCAGCCTCTCTGCTCTGGTTACTGTTTCCAGGGTCAGAAGGCAGAGTTCAGCTTGTGGTTCCTGGATCCTGTGAGGGCCCACAGGAGGCCTCAGTGGGTGCTGGCTCCTCCTTCCATTTCCCAGCCTGCTGGGAGCAGGAACTGAGTGTTCACCTGCAGGTAGCGTGCTGCTCGCTCCCGTGAGGGGGACCCACAGAGCCTTTCCCCCTCCTCCCCTTAGCGCCTCCTCCCAGCCTGTCCCTCTACTCATCCTGAGCCCCTCAACCCACCCTTTACTCCCTGGCAGGGTCAGGCACCCTGGGAAGAGTGTGGGGCTGGTGTCGGTCTCCTGTCCCCCCTTCCTGCTACTTCTTAGTCACTCCCAGGGGCAATTGGTAAAGCTCTTGCTGGAACAGAATGGTAAAGATTCTTAGTTCTTTTATCCCCCCCTGCAGGGTGCCCCCCAGGAGCAGCTGAAGGTGCCCCTGAGGGCCCTGCCCTCTGGCCAAGTGGTGAGGCTTGTCTTCCCTACATTCCAGGTACTGGTCCCCAGAGGAAGAAGGCCAGGTGCACGGACAGGGCGGGGCCCTGGACAAGTGCTAGGCCAGGGCCCCTTCTGTAGCAGTGTCTGTCCTCGGGCCACTCCCTGGACAAGTGCTGGACCAGGTTCTGGGGAGGGGGCTTCTCTGAGCGTTTCTGCCTTCAGGCCTCCAGGCCTGGCTCCTATGGAGATGGCTGGGGGCCCAAGGGAGCATGGGGTCATCGTGGGGGTGTGGCTCTGGCTGGAATGAGGAACGGGCGGCCACTCTTTGTGACTGGATCGCTCATGGTTTTCAGGAGCCCCTGATGAGAGTGGAACTGAAAAAAGAAGAAGGGTGAGAGGCTGGGCTGGGCACTGGGAAAGGTCATGGGGGAAAGCAGTCAGGGACGGGTGGCCCATGGTCAGGCACTTGAACCTGGAGGAGCAAGGGCGAGAGATGGGGCAGCTTCCAGAACAACTGCTGCTCTGCAAATCCTCTCTGCGATGCTCAGGGGTTTGCTTCCAGGGCAGAGCACGATGTGCAGGCAGCCTTAGCAGATAAAGGCTCTTTTTAACTTGTATTTGCATTTCTGCTTAAGTTGGAGGGGTGTGTGCCTAGCCCAGTGCCTGGCACTTGGGAGACACGTGATAAACATTTGGCTGGAAAAGCAGGTGGAAGGTGAGGAGAGTGGTTTGAGGCACAGAGAGGGCAAGGAAACCGAGAGGTGAGAAATCGTGCCCCTTCTTGTGGCATCTACTGTGGGTGGACCTTAGCTAACCTTCATGAGACGAGGAATCGTGGCCCTGGCCCTCCATACGCCGGGGAGATTAGCTGCTCACCATGAAGAGGTGGGAACACTGGTTCCCGTCCCCTTTGTAGCCACTTTTGGGTGGGTGAGGGAGAGAAGCTAAGAGGTGGAAGTGGGTCTGTAGTGTTGGGTCCTAGCCAGGGTCCCGTCTGCACCTGGGACCCCAGAGGGACCTCTTTAGTCACCAGCGTTCCCAGTTCTGTGAATCCACTTTGCTGCATTCCCCGTGTCCCTGCGTGGGTCTGGGTTTGCTCTCTCCCCATCACATCCACACGTCATGCTTCAGTCAGGACACAGGAGGAGGGGTGAGGGTTGAGGAGAGGAGAGATGGCAGTGGGCTTTCCAGGGAGGCGGACCCAGCCTCCCTGTCTCTGGCGATGCCGGGAGCTGCCTCATGGGCCCTTCCTTCCCACCCAGACCCAGGGAGCTGGCCGTGCGGCTGGGCTGTGAGCCCTGCGCTGAGGAGCAGGCCTTCCTGAGCAGGAGGAAGCGGGTGGTGGCCAAGGCCCTGAAGCAGGCCCTGCAGCTGGACGAAGACTTGCGAGAGGATGAGGTCTGGGGACTGAGCTGGATGGGGTGGGCGTCCTCGGGCTTGCTCGGGCCCAGTGCTCCATGTTGAATGCTGGGACTGGCTGTTCCCTAGCCAGACCAGAGCTGGTGCCCAGCTGGGCTTGGACCCGCCGCCTCTCTGCCTGCCCCTGCTTTGCTGCCCTCTCAGTTGATGTCATCGGGAGCTTGATCACAATGCAGAGCATTGCATGAAGCACTGGGAGCTTGCAAACTGTCCTGCTGGGCTAGCTTTCCTTCTCATTGTTTCTTGATCCTTGGTCTGGTCCAGGTTGCAAGACTGGGCCTGGTCTGACTGATCAGTGAGACATACAGCCTGCTGGCCCAGGGAAGTCGCTGGAGGTTAAGATCAGCCTGGGTTGTCTCCTGTTGAGATGACCTTTCCTTGCAAGAGGGAGAGGGGTGGCTACATGGGACATTTTTGAGGTGGCCCTGGGGCTTCCAGAAAGCGATCACCAGACACTAGAGGTGAGGAGACGAGGCCTGAAATGTTTGGTTAATTTTTCCTGAAGTTCTTAAAAACCAGACAAGCCTGATATTCGAGTGGCTACTTCTGACTAAAGCCTCTTTAGCAGGCCTGACTAGAACTGGTCCCAAGAGCCCTGATCAGATCTTGAGTGGCCTTAGTTGTGGTTGAGCTGAGTGGCCATTTGGCTTGCTACCTCCTCTTCCTGTGGCTTGGCCTTCCCCTTCCCTAAGACCTCGCCAAGCCTGGCTGTCCTCTTTTTCAGATCCCGGTGATAGGCGTAATGGCCACTGGCGGTGGGATCCGGGCGATGACGTCCCTGTATGGGCAGCTGGCCGGCCTGAGGGAGCTAGGCCTCCTGGATTGCATTTCCTACATCACAGGGGCCTCGGGCTCCACCTGGTGAGCTGGCAGCAGATTGAGTTTAGAGCCTGATGGTGGCTGGTTGGGTTGTGGCAGGGGGTGGCAAGGCTCTCCTGGACCCCATAGGCCTTTCTGACCAAATTGGAAGGGCTGGGAGAGTGCATGTGCCAGACAGAAATGTGCTCAGGAAGACCCTTGGAAGGTGCTTGCCAGGCTGAAGTCCTAGAATAGAGAGCCCAAGGCATGTGATGTGGTCCTTGAGTGATGATCCCCCTGACTTGGGCTTTTCCCAGGGCTTTGGCCAACCTCTATGAGGACCCAGAGTGGTCTCAGAAGGACCTGGCAGGGCCCACTGAGTCGCTGAAGACCCAGGTGACCAAGAGCAAGCTGGGTGTGCTGGCCCCCAGCCAGTTGCGGCAGTACCGGCAAGAGCTGGCCGAGCGTGCCCGCCTGGGCCACCCAACCTGTTTCACCAGCCTGTGGGCCCTCATCAACGAGGCGCTGCTGCATGATGAGGTATTGGGGGTGTGGTGGGGGGGCACTGCAGCCTGGGCAGCAGAGGTGGGGTGGCCAAAACCACTGCAGGCCCAGAGATGGGGAGCAGCCCTGGGCAGCAGGGCGTTGGAAAGGCCCCAGGCATCAGGAAGCCATGGCTTTAGGTCCAAATCATCTTCCCTGCCAGCCCCATGACCACAAACTCTCAGACCAGCGGGAGGCCCTGAGTCATGGCCAGAACCCTCTGCCCATCTACTGTGCCCTCAACACCAAGGAGAAGAACCTGACCACCTTTGAATTTGGGGGTAAGTAGCCTGGAGCTGAGACCTGTGCTTTTGGAGGAGGAGGGTAGCCGGGCCCGTGTGTAGGAAGTGGGTGTTAACACCACTGCTTCTGGGCCAAATTCCAAGCTTTCCAGAGACTGTCATTCAGGCTTTGGAATGGGGCAAGGGCCTTAGGTCCCATACTCAGAGTGCCATCGATAAGGCTGAGCCTTCTGATCACCAGGCTGTCCTGACTAAAGCCTGTGGTGGGTGCACTGGTGCTGAGGGTCCTCAGGTTCTGGGCCCCATGGTAAGGCTGTGTGGCCTCCTCACAGAGTGGGTCGAGTTCTCCCCCTACGAGGTTGGCTTTCCAAAGTACGGCGCCTTCATCCCCTCCGAGCTCTTTGGCTCCGAGTTCTTCATGGGACGCCTGACGAAGCAGCTTCCTGAGTCCCGCATCTGCTTCCTGGAAGGTGAGGGGTGCTGGAAGGCTGGAGAAGCTGGAGGAGTGGGGATAATGGGCCTGGGGGAGGTGGCGGGCCTTGGCCTTTCCAGCTTAGTCACTGGGATGTTTCCTGGTCCAGGACTGGCCTTGGGGAAGGTTGTGACAGGGTGTGGGACTCTCTTCCCCTTGTGACCCCTCTCTCAGGTATCTGGAGCAACCTGTATGCAGCCAACCTCCAGGACAGCTTATACTGGTCCTCAGAACCCAGCCAGTTCTGGGACCGCTGGGCGCAGGATCGGGCCAGCCTGAGTAGGTGCCTGGGCTCCTTCATAAGGATTTGGAGGGACAGCAGTGGGGCTGTATTTGGGGGAAGATGGGGGTAGTGCTCAGGCCTTTGGGAGTTCAAGAGGCTGAGGTAAAGGTCCAGGGGGCATCTCCATTTCCTGAATACCCCACTCCCCGACCTTGACTGCAGACAAGGAACAGGTCCCCCTTCTGAAGATAGAGGAGCCTCCTACAGCAGCCGGCAGGATAGCTGAATTTTTCACTGACCTTCTGACGTGGCGCCCGCTTGCCCAGACCACCCACAATTTCTTACGTGGCCTCCATTTCCACAAGGACTATTTCCAGCATCCTGTCTTCTCTACCTGGAAAGGTATCTGCTTTTCTCCCCCTGGTCCCGGCTCTCTAGAGTCTTCCTACGGCCGTTTGAGCCTTAGGTCCCTGATCCAGACACCCACACTCTGCAACCCTGTGTTCCCAAGCCCTTTGAGCTCAGTTCCCTGGGCTGCTTGGAGCAGGAGCCCCTTTTTCCCTCATTATGATGGGGATCAGGGCCCACTTTCAGGGCCTCAGAAAGTGGAGGTGCTATTAATACTTCAGTAGGAGGGAGCAGGGCCAGAGGACAGGGTCTTCCACCAGCAGCAAGGAACTGGCATTAGGTCTGAGGGGCTGGTGCCCTCAGCACCAGTGACAGCTGCTTCTCCACCCCATCCCCCCAACCTTTCTAGCCACCAAACTGGACGGGTTCCCCAACCAGCTGACACCTGCCGAGCCCTACCTTTGTCTGCTGGATGTTGGCTACCTTATCAACACCAGCTGCCTGCCCCTCCTGCAGCCCACACGGGACGTGGACCTCATCCTGTCACTGGACTACAACCTCCACGGAGCCTTTCAGGTGGGATGGGGGCAGGCTTGGGAGGTGGTGGGCAACCCCAGGTCTGGCCTCACATCCTGGCTCCTGGCTCTGGGGAGATGTGCTTTAGAGTCTAGTATCTGGCCCACCTTCCCTTAGGGGCTGTGACAGTGACACCATGGGGACAGGAAACTGAATTCGTAGAATCCACAACCAGGGGAGCTCACTGTGCTCAGGAAGTTGGAGTGATGGGGGAACCAGCAGTGTTTTGTGTTTTTTTTTTTAAAGATTTTTATTGGGGAATTGGGGGGATGGGAACAGTGCTGGGGAATTGGGGAAAGGGGAACAGACAAGTTGCTGTCGTTTTGTTCTTCAATCTAGTTGTGGAGGACGTTGCTTCACTGGCCCAAGTTGGCACCATCATTGCGCTCTTCTCTGGCGAGGCAGATCAGTCGCCGGCTTCTGGACGGCCGCTCACTGCGGCTGCTGGCCGCTCACGCTGGCTGCTGGCCACACACGGTAGCCCATGGCAATGCACTGCCACAGGGACTGCAGCCCACGCCGTCGCCGGCGACTCATGGCAGCCCAGCTCCAGGTCGAGCTGTTGTTCAGCATCTTAGCTGTGGAGGGCAGTGTCACTGGCCCTCACATGTGGGATCCGAACCGGGGCCCTCTGGCATCCCAAGCGAGTTCTTAACCATCGCGCCACTCGGCCGGCCCCAGCAGTGTTTTTAAATGTATTTTATATCTGGGTCCCCTTTGCTGTACCTGCACCCCCAGTTGGTCCTGGACCTCTGGGACCTCCTGCTTTGAGTTTCTGTGCTGGTCCAGTGAAGTTTTTTGCCTCCCAACCACAGAACTTGGGTGCTGTTAGGAGCCCCGCTCAGTTGAGCCCAGTAGAGCTGCAACAGAAAGGCTGTCAGGCTGAGAGCGTTTTTCCAAGTCTGGCCTGGCTGTGTTGGATCCACTAGTCTGATTTGGCCTCTGGGCACTAAGTCCCACATATCTTAGCGAACCTCCATATTCAGTTAGCCTGCTGTTGAGGACACTGGGGAGCCCCATGGCCCATCCCTCTGATGCCACTTCTGTCCACCCTGCAGCAGCTGCAGCTTTTGGGCAAGTTCTGCCAGGAGCAAGGGATCCCGTTCCCACCCATCTCGCCCAGCCCTGAGGAGCAGCGCCAGCCTCAGGAGTGCCACCTGTTCTCAGACCCTGACTGCCCTGAAGCCCCTGCCGTGCTACACTTCCCCCTGGTCAACGACTCCTTCCGGGAGTACTCGGCCCCTGGTGAGCCACTGGCTCAGCCCCTCCACCTTGCCTCCTGGTGCCCTGGGCTCCCTGTCCCTCATGATACCTCAGTCCTTTATGCCTCTCTGAAAGGTGACCCCAAGCCCCCCTCCACCACCCAGTGCGTTTCCTCTCCATGCCCAGGCTGCACGCTCTCTCCACTAGGGGTCCGGCGGACAGCTGAGGAGAAGGAGGCTGGAGAGGTGAACCTGTCTTCATCCAGCTCCCCCTACCACTACTCGAAGGTGACGTACAGCCAGGAGGATGTGGACAAGCTGCTGCACCTGACGCACTACAATGTCTGTAACAACCAGGAGCGGCTGCTGGAGGCCCTGCGTGAGGCTGTGCGGCGGAGGCAGAGGCAGCGGCAGCAGCAGCGGCCCCAGTGATGGCGGCACCCTGGCCTGGGGCTCTCCCCGGGCTCACTGCCCCTGACTTTTTCAGGCTTACTCCCCCACTGATCTGGTTGCCCTGAGTCGAGTCGGGGCAGAGACTGTCATTACCAGGTGTTGCAGAGCCTCGGGGGCTTGTGGATGGTACTGTCGGGGGCTCCACCATGGTGTGTGCCTAGCACCACCTAGGTGTGGCACTGAAGCCACCAGCAAGGCTGCCACAGACACCTCCGGGTAGGTCTAGAGTTCTACATGGGCGGGGGCCTTGTGATGTGGGCTGGAGATGGCTTCCTTTGGAGCAAGGAGAAGATTTAGAGGTTGTGTGGCAGCTGGAAATAGAGATGGGGGAGCCCAGAGCAGCATAACCATATTTGTGTAAGGGCCCAAAGCCCAGTGTCTGTTCTCATTTTCTTGCTACCTTGAGTAGTTGTACAGAGTGAAATAGAGCACATTATGTATTACAGCAGCTCATACAAACGTGAGGCATTATCTGAGATTCTGTCACTGCTGCCAAGGGCTCTTGGTTACACTGGTCTAAGAAAATGTCTCCCCAGGCTAACAGAGCTATCGAGTCAGCATGGGTTTCCCCTGAAGTATGGGCCATCTGCTTCCGGTAGCGTCTGCCCTCCTTTGGACCATTCTTCCAAACCGGCAGGAGGCCAGTTTGGCTTGGGGGTCTCCACTGCTGCAGCCTTACAGGCAATGAAAGCACCCCTGTCCTCCTTACCCAGGCCTCGGGGTGTAGCCAGGGACTCAGTCGAAGGGCTGCTTCCTGTCCCATTGTATGGGTGGCCACACCGGGAACCAGATGAGCCAATGATACCAGCGCCGTAGCTTCACCAAGCTGTGACTTTGGGGGTGGGAGGTCCTGTCTCTTAAAAAGGAACCGTCTGTTCCCGAAGTTGGTTCTGAGGGGCTTGGTAGCAGATTCTTGTTCAGGTCCCCTAGCGGGTGTTCTCACTTGTAGCCCTGAGGTTTGGTGCCACCTCAGGGTTCACGTCAGGGCCTACGCCTGTGGAGAGAACAGGGAGGCAGAGAGAATTTAGGGCCTAGCCACCCCAGAATCTTCTTCACACACCAGCCTCCCTGGGAACACCCCACCTCCCCCTAACATCAATGTGGGATGTGGATACTGGGAGCCATAGGCAACTGTAGGGATGCCGTGTGGGGTGGATGGGAGATGACTGGTTCTTGTGACCCAGTGACTCTCAGGCCCTGCCCTGGGCATGTGGCTAGAATCACAGAGCAGAAGAAATGGCTGCCCTGGTATCCTTAGAAGCCACTGTGTCCAAGACAAGGCCCGTTCACTCAGCAACACATCACCTAAATCATAGATTGGAGCCTGTGGGCCCTGTAGCAGTGTGATTGGATAATACACCAGAGACCACAACTGTGGCTGCCACCCCTGTTACACTGTGAGTGCTCCTCAGGCACGAGGCTATGTGTGTGTGTGTATTTGTGTGGGTTTGTCTCCTTGTGGGCCTCTGTATAAATTTATGTGTAGGTCTTGGGGTCATATGTGGGTGACATCCTGACCTCTCTAGGACAGTAAGGCCCCCCTTCCCCCTTGGAGCAGGACCAGGTCCTTGGACTGGGGAAAGCAGGGGAGGATGGAGGCAGAGAGCAGGGACAAAAGCAAGGGTACAGGACAGGTCTGGGTGTCCTGCAAACAATGCTGTGTCTTGGAGAGGAGGAGGAGACCAAGGAGTCAGGGATGTGTGGGTCCCAGGTGGACAGAGCCAGGCAAGCATTCTAGAGTGTGCAGAGGTAACGTGGGTGCCCCTCACCTCGGGTCGAGCCTGGCAGGAAAGGTGGTTGGGAGCCTTGTGCAGTTTCCTCTGCAGGGCTAGCCATCTGCGGGAGCGCCAAGGGCTGTGGGTGGCTGTCAATGCTCACGTGTGTCTCCCTCAGTGAGGAAGGTAGGGGACAGCCATGGAATCTGTGGGAAAAGGGAGCCTCATGACCCAGACTCTACTGTCACTGCTGAGAGTGACAGGGGTTTGCACCCAGTGGAGTGGGTGCTAGGGCTTTGTTTCCCAAGGGTGGCCGAGAGTCTCAAACGTGGGTGTTATCCCACCCCCTAACAGTGTAGGTCTGAGTCCTAGGACCTTAGGCTTAAGAGGGTAGCATCTGTGCCAGTCTTGGAGGCTCAGGACGCCTGCCCACACACCCAGGTGCCCTACCTGAGTGGAGCAGTTGTGCTGGGCACCCCCTCAGCAGCATGCTCAGCTGGGAAGTCCAGAGGTCTGGCTCTGAGCTCTGGGCTCAGATTGTGGGCTACAGAGCAAGGGAAGAACACCGGTCAACCCTGGCCTAGATGCTCAGCCGGCTACAGGCAGAGTCCCTGCACGCTCCCTCTTCCTGGCTATGGTCTGAAAATTTGTGTCGTTCCCCGCACCGCACTCGACCACAATCCCTGTTGAAAGGCTAATACTGTTAGGAGAAGGGGCCTTTGGGAGGTGATTAGGTCATGAGGGTAGAACCCTTATAAAGGAAACGCCAGAGAGCAACCTTGCCCCTTCCACCCTATGAGGACACAGCAAGAAGGTGCCACCTGCAACTGGAAGACGGCTCTTACCAGATACCCAGTCTGCTGGTGCCTTGATCTTGGACTTCCCGGTCTCCAGAACTGTGAGAAATAAATGTCTGTTGGTTATAACCCACCCAGTCTGTGGTATTTTTGTTACGGCGGCCCGAACAGACTAAGACGCTCCTGCTTCTGGAAGCTCCACAGGCACCAAGGCTTGCCCATGTGGGGGTACAGTGCAGGCCAAGCACCCCAGGGGCAGGTTCCATGCAGTGTGTTCTGCCTCCTAGAAGGCTGACGGGCTAAGAAAGGTTCAGCCTGGAGGAGATTCTGAAGAAATTCATTATTCCTTTGGAATTCTGGAAAGACAGTCTCAGGGAGGTCCCAGGGAACAGAGACAGGATGAGGAACAGAGCAGGAACCCAGCGAGACTGGGAGGAGCAGGAAGGGCCTCCTGGTAGAGCCCCAGCAGCCTCAGGACAGACCCCGAACACACTCTGTCCATGCGGAGGGTATAAAGGGGTGCTTTCTATGTGTCTTCCCTAGTAGTAGAGCTAGGCTTGGCCACTGTCTACATGACACCCCAACAGAGGTGCATTCAGGGTGTGTGAGGACTTGAAGGATGGAGAAGGCCCCAGGATCAGACACAGCAAAACCTGGGAACGCCCACAGGGATCCTGGAAGCGTTTAGGGGAGTCAGAGCAGGACCAGGTGGCAGCCAGGGGATCAAGCCTGGCCTCTCCTCTGCTACTAGTTAGCTGTGTAATCTTTGACAAGTTGCTTACCCTTTCTGGGCTTTTATATTCTTTGTGAAAAGACAGTAAGGTCCCACTTACGATGCAGGCTATACAAATGCTAAATGTGAAACTTCCTAGGGTGCACAGAACATCAGCAGCTTGAAGCCCAGGGAGTCAATGCCTCCACTCCACCTCCCCAGGGTTCCCCTAGAGCCTACCTGCTTTGCTGCTCAGGGCTGGATGGCATCTCTCGCCCTGCCCTTTTGATGGTGCTGCAAACAGGATCTCTGCTCTGCTGCTCAGCCTGCCACCCAGACAGCCATAGGTCAAACTCTCTGCCTTTAGTGCAGGGACACCTGCCTTTAATCCCTGGTCTGCTCTGGGGAGACCAAGTCTGCTGAGTCAGCGTGTCCTGGCCCAGTGTCTCTCTTCCCATTCAGTTCTTACCTTAAGGAGAAAGTGTGTTTTCTGTCATGGCAGTCGCTTGGCCTCTCACACTGGGCTCCTACAAGGTCAAGGGTGGACGTGAAAGCCACGTTCTGAGGAGAGATGACAGGCAGGGGTCACCAAGGCCATCTCAGCTTTTCTCAGTGGGCCCTCTGTCCTCTGACCCCCACCCCCATTCCCACTGCCAGGTACCTCTGCTGCTGTCCTCTCATCCTGGAACAGGCTCAGGGAGCTGTCCCCCAAGGTCCCAAAGCAGCCATCCCAGGGACTTGAGCTGGGCTGTGAAGCGAAGGCCATAAGGCTGCCCCAGCTGCACCAGGACCAAGGTGCCTGTGGGGACGAGGGAGCCAGGGAGCGACTTGCTGGGAAACCAAAAGAGGAGCCCCACCTTCCACCTGGGTGGGGGCAAAAGCTATGAAGTGGCCCCAAGAAGAAACTGCCCTGGGGGGAGTTCACCCAAAGTCCGCAATGCCAGGGGGCCAGGCCCAATGGTCCCTCTGAGCCCCTCGAGTGGTTCTGTGGCGGGGCGCTGCCTGGAGAAGGGATCTCCTGGCACTCACCTGCCTTCCCCCAGACAGGAATTGCTGCGCAAGCTCCAAAGACCCTTCCATGGTGCGGGCACCCTTCACATCCTAAAAATGCAAGATGGGGCCCCTGTGGAGGGGTCTAGGTACCCACTCGTCCTGGTTTTCAATGATGCTCATCTTAGCCTGGTGCTCCCAGGCCTCAGCATTGGCTGCAGGGAGTAACCCTTACCCTGACGGCCCCACTGGTCTCCTGCTGCCTGGCTGCCTGCTCCGGGGAGACAATGGTGGCCAAGGGTATGTGCTGCATGACAGGGACACCTGACTGCAGATCCTTTGTCTCAGCCGGCCGTGCTCCGCGCCACCAGCTTCCAAGGGGCCTATGCTGGAGGGAGGTCAGCCCACGGCCAACTCTTCCAGGTTTTAGCCCTTTCCCCTGCTGCGGCAGCTCCTGTTCCATCTGGGGGAGGGGAGCCAGGTGAGCCAGGTCAGGCCCTGGAGGGCTCCGTGCCCAGCCTCTCCTCTCCACACCCCTCCCGCCAAGAGTGAGCCAATTTCCCCTCAGCTCAGGAGAATTCCCTCTCATCCCGGCCCACGGTGGCACCTCAGTCTACTAGGATATGGGGGTGACAACACACTGCAGCTGGCAAGGGGGAAGAATGGAGTTTTCCTGAAGGGAAAGTGCCCTGGGGAGACCTGACTCTCAGGCTGAGACTGGGACTGCACCCATCACCGGCGTTCAGGCCCCATCTCCTGCGGCTCCCTTGCCCAGCCTTGCTCACCCCCACCTTCCTCTGCAGTTGGACAAACTTCTCCTCCTGGGCTGCCAGCCGCTTTTCTAAGTCCTGGTGTCTGAGAAGCAGCAACTCCACGTCAGACACCGAGTTCTGGGGAGAAACAAGCCAGGATGAGGCCCAGCTGCCGGGGATGCTGAGAGCTTCCATCCACGGTCTGCAACCCGGCCTGAGTGGCCAGTGAGAGAAGGAGCAGCGGGAGCTGTCCTTGGCCATAGCTGCTAAGAGGGCAGGGCCGTGGCTCACCCCACAGTTGGGGTCCAGCAGGAGGCCCTCCCTGGAAGCCAGCCAGGCCTCGGCCTGGTCTAGCTCCTGCCGCAGCATCTGCAGGCCCCAGCTCTCTTTGCAGCGTTCCCAGCGCAGGGCCCAGGCTGCCTCCAGCACCTGCAGCTGTCCTTCCAGCTCCTGCAGACACTCTGTCACCTGGTGGGGAAGGGGTACTGTGGGTGAGATGCTGGGCAGAGCCACCCAAGTAGGGCAGGGCTGGAGTGCCCAGAAGAAGTGTCGAGGGAAGGCTGAGAGGCCTGGGCCTTCCGCTTCTCTGTCGCGCTCTCTCTGCCCTTAGCCTGACCTTCCTCTCCCACTGGCTTCAGTCCTGCTAGGGGTTCTGAGGCCTTGGGTAACTGGGCTCTGTGCCCAGTTCAATGCCAGGCCCATGTACCTCCAGGGACATGAAGTTGCCATTATCCACCAGCTGCTGCCCCGCCTGCTTTACATCCTGGGCTTGAAGGCAGTGCTCCTTGATTTCTTGCCCTAGCTCCTCATGCTGCCCTAGGAGCTGCTCGGCCCCTGCCACGTCCCCAGCCAGCTCCTGTGAGGACACCAGTGCCTGCTTCTCCTGAGCCCATGCTCTGTGGGGCAGGGAGAGGGAGCGGCTGTTAGGTCTCGGAGGGCAGGATGGGGAGGGCGGACGGGCAGGGCATGAGCTGCACAGGAGGTGGAATCCAGTTCCCCAAAGAGCTGGGGTGACCCCCACCCTGCAGGGCAGAGCTGAGTCAACAGCTGGGACAGGATGCCACTTACAGAAGTTCTCGACAGCGTCCAAGCAAGGTGCAGCCCTGGGCAGCCTGCTCCAGCTGCCGGCTTCGCTCCTGGGCCTTTGCACCCAGGGTGGCCCAGGCCTCCTGCACCTCGGCCAGCTGCTGAGCCAGGCTCTCCTGAGCCGCAGGGTGTAGCTGGCCCAGTCGGCAGGCCTCTGTCCGCACCTGTGCCACCTCCTTCTCCATAGCTGCCAGTTCCCACTGTCGAGAGAACACATGATCAGGCCTCACTCTCTGGCAACCTGCTGCGTGCCCCTCATCCAGGGAGCACCCAGGCCTCTCTGAGGAGTCCTGCTCTGCTTCCCAGACTCTCCCAGGCCACCTCCACTGTGCTCCACAAGCTGAGCAAGTAGTCCCTGGGCTGGGAGGGTCCTTGCCTCTCACCTCTGGGGTCCCCTTACCACTGCCTTCAGGGAGGGGCTCAGACAGGAAACCCACAGGGCATGGACCCTCACCTCCAGGAACCTGTGCTGTTGCTGCAGGGTCTGCACAGATGACAAGCTATGGTCACAGGCATCCCTCTCCATCAGGGTGGCCTTTTCCTGTATCCAGCCCTGGAGCTCAGCCACCGCCTGCTCAAAGCCACGGACCTCACAGGCTGCGGCCAGGTTCTGGGAGAGGAGGGAGGGCCTGCTGTGGGCTGAGCTCATTGCCAGGGTCCTTTAACCCCGGAGACATGGCCCCCCGGGCCACCTCCTTGTAAACAAGGAGGACCATGGGGCTTGGTGACTTGTTCATGATCACCAAGCACAGAAAATGTCCTAGATGTGGTAGCTGCTCAATGAACATGAGATGTTACTGATGAGGTGGTTGGGCCTCAGGGGGCACTCTGTGAGGAGAGGGTCTTTGGTGCATGGCTCATGAGAAAGACAGAGGCGGGGGCTCTGAAATGAATGGGGACAGGTCCATGTGCAGGAGGGGGCTGGTTTTCAGGGGGAGGACTGGCTGAGAGGAGAGGGTCAACTCAGGAAGACGGCTCCAGCCTGGACCCTCAGAGATGGCATTTCCCAGCTGTGGGGCCTGTCAGGGGCTTGAGGAGCTGGGCTGCTTTTAGAGAAACCACCAGCTATGGCTGAGAGCTAAGGTTGTGGGAAGCACTGAATATTTCCTTGGCATACAAATCCACTGAGAGCACTGAGGTGAGAAGAGTGAATGAGTGGAGTGAAGGAGCATCTGTCGCATGACAACGAGATTGCGCCCAGTGAAGGGAGTGCAGTTAAGGAGAAGAGATCAACAAGGCATGTGTCTTAATAGAACGGAAGACTGTGTTTATGGGGGCTTGGTAGGGGTCAGAAGTTGGCCAGACATGCTGTTTCTCCTTGGAGGTGTAGGTTTGAACTGCACTAGGAGGACTCGAATAGGTGGAGGGGTCGGGAGGCAGAAGACTTTGAGACTCTCGATCTGCTTGTTGCTGGGAGTTAGAGAGAGAGAGAGAGAGAAGGTGTCTGCCTCTCTCTCTCTCTCTCTCTCTCTCTCTCTCTCTCTCTCTCTCTC